TAAACTGCTGGGAAAATAAGAATGTTTGGCTTCCCTACTGGTTCTTAAGGCTGCAAAGACAGCTTTGGGGGGGGGGGGAGACTATCTTTAGTGGAACAAAGGCTATTTTACTGATGACATTCTTTGAAAGATGATCCTCCAAGTTTATCATGTGCTTGGGTCTGGAGATAAGTGTCCCCTAAAGGTCACACATACAAGCTGGTGTCTGGGGTAGACCTGGTTTTGTTGCTCGTTTGTTTTTGTTTGGGGGGAGTGGGTGCTGTGGACAGTAAGAAGTGGATCTGGTAAGAGTTTCCCAAGTCACTAGGGGCATGCCCTCAGGGGAATGCAGAACCTTGTTGTTTTTCCTCTACCCATGCTGTGGTTGTGAGATCTAATCAAGGGCTTGTTCCTCTCAAGATCCTACAGTTGCACTCACCATGTGCAACGTATAGTCAAAAAGTGCTCATGCTAAGCCTGAACGACTCCAAGTCTGGACTCTGACCCTCCAAAGCAGTGAGCTAAATAAATAGGCCTTTATATAAGTTCTTTGCTTCCTAGGGAACTCTGCTATGGCAACACGAGGTTACTAATACAGTGTGTATTCAAATCACAGAGGTTCGCCACAAGTCAGACTGCTGGGTCCCACTGCCTGGTGCCACTGTCTGACCCCACTGCCAGGTCCCACTGCTGGTTTCAGATTCCATAGGTTCAGTGTAGAATCAGGAGTCTGCATCTCTACCCCATCCTCAAATGGTGTTGCTGACAGGGAACTGGGGCTCAGACCCTACAGACCACTGACCCAGGAGAGCATTAATACTAGGATGACCCTGAAACTTGCTCACACACATACCGCAGTGGCAGGCAAAAGCGCTCTTTCAAGGAAAGCACGCTGAAATAAAATGAGCCAGAAGGGCCCGTTTTGCCTCTTTTCTTCATGAGATATACCACAGAATCAGAAGAGCAAGCACCATATGGTCTTTTATTTTTAATATATAATGTGGCACCTGGGGCCTTCATTACCTCTCCCTCATATCTCAAAGAAGTAGCTTGCATTTTTAGTTGCACACTTCAAAAACCCTCTGAAAACCAACCTAGACAGATCTTTTCCATCTCCAAAAACTACTGAAGCTGAAGTCAGTCTCCAATTGACCTCAACTGCCCAAACCACTGGGGTCTTAATCCCCAATTACAGTGATCCTTCTGGAAGCCTTTGTTTTATCAACCTGCTTGCCTTACAACTTTCAACTGCTCTGGTCTCCATCACTGCTCTAATCTAACTATAGTCCCAGTCTCTTTCTACAGAATTATTTAACAAGCTGGGGGGGGGGGACACACAGAGCCCCAACCTAGCTGAGAAGCTATTGGCAACTGATGGCTGTTGGGGAAGGAAGAGTCAATTTTATTTGGGACCATGGATCCCGGGAGGCTGCTTGGGCTCCAGTGAGAACTCCAGGACCCAGTGTATGCAACAAGCTCTCACTGCACTCAGTGAGGACTCCAAAGAAGACATGAAGGTACAAGGGGAACGTGTTGGGGGTCAGGAGGAAAGGAAGAAGGAAGGGGGGATAGATATGATTAGATACACTGCATATGTATATGAAATCATCAAAGAATGAAAAATATTTTTTAAAAAATCTGCTATAAGTCTCTGTATCTTTGTCATTGAGAACTTTACCTTACCACAACCTTTCTGAATTCCCCCATAGTTTACTACTGCATGTGTTCCATTACAATGCTATTCCAAAACTAATGTCATTCTTGAAAAAAACAAAAAAAACAAAAAACAGTCTCAAGGGAAAATATCTGCCAATGTTATTGAGTAAGGAAATACCCTTCCCCAAGCAGAGGCTAAGATCTTTGGGAAAGGGGATGAGGAGGGATGCAAATGTCCTAGTTCAGGAACCCTGTCTGCTTCTCTCCTTTTACATAGTAACACAAAATCATTTTCCTTAGCATCCTAGATAAGATAGAAGAACAATGCAAGTAGACTTTATCAGTATCAGCCCACAATCTGTGTACCAGGGAAGGCAATAAAAAGGTAAAATACCTCTTCTGAGGGCACAAGGCTGTCAAGGGTAGAGATCTAATCTAGAAATTGCTTTGCACTAGAGTTGAAAGGAAATAAAAAGTACATGAAGCTTTAACCAATTTCTATCTATGTGTAACGTGTGTGTGTGTGTGTGTGTGTGTGTGTGTGTGTGTGTGTGTGCGCGCAGAATGTTTGACATAGGGTCTTCTGTTGTAATGCAGGCTAGTCTGGAATTCTCTATATAGCCAAGGCTGGTCTACACAGAGAACTCACAGCAATCCCCCTGCCTCAGTTTGAGTCACTTCATCCAGCTTCTTGGTGTCTATGCTCAGAAATGTCCATGACAGTGTAAACAAAAAAAAAAAATGAGAAATGGTCTGGCTCAGCAGGCCAGATGACCCCCAAGTCCAGCAGACCTCTTCCTGGTACAATATTCATACAGGTGTTCTCCTCACCCACACTCAGATTAACTCCCCAGGTTCATCTTTATGGGGATATTTAAAAGAACTAGTTTTTGGCCTCAATTTTTAGCAAATTCATCTCTATTTAAAAAAAAAATCAGCAATTATCCCCAACACCACCTCAAGCTGACATATGAAACATGCAACTTTAACATGTTCTGCATCCCTAAATTTCCAAGTCTACATCTTTAAAACACCCCTTTGCTCCCACTTGATCTTCCTTGGGATATCAATCCTTGACAATCTTTCACCTCAGAACTCTGTAAGCTCTGTCTTCCCTCACTCACCAAGTCCTGAAGAAAGACTCGAGAATGAATGGCAGCATCTGCAGGCTTCATATCTTTCCGAGTACAGTGCTATGAACAAAGCAGGCCCTCAAAAAAAGAGTAAGCTAAAAGCATTTTTAAACCAAAACTCCTTTCCATTCCAGTCACTAACTTTACTTAATCCTTAATTTCTTCCCAGTGTGGTCCAATGACCTAAATCTCTATTTCAACCCAGCTACCATATAGTTTCCAGCTTCCTTCCAAAACGTAATACCACTGACTTACTAAAGATCTTTGGAAAATGGCAAGATGGCTCAGCCAATCCTGATGATCTAAGTTTAATCCCTGGAAGATACTTAGTGAAGAAAATCAACTCCCAAAAGCTGTCTGATGACCACCACACACACACACATACATACACACACACACACACACACACACACACACACACACACACTAATAAATACAGATGGATGGATGGATGGATGGATGCATGAATGCATGGATGCATGAATGGATGCATAGGTTTCTTTGACTTTTTCCCCATTGCACACATCTTATTTGGCAAAATTCACAACCATCATGATCTGACCCACCCCACATTCTACCTTGTATCTTAAGGGGTTTTATGACAGCAAACCAGGTTAATTTCTTTACATGGAAAGCTGACACTTTCTCCAACACCCTTCCCCACTCCCTCATCCAAGTAACTGCCACCCTTACCCAGTGACTCTCCTCTATGGTCCACTGAACAGTCACTTGTCACACCGTATCATAATTATAGCCCACATTTGAAGAGTCTATTAAAGATGATTCTGCAGCTGGAACTCTGGCTTGATCAACTGACCCGGGCACACTGTTTGCAGGGTGCACATAATAACATGAGTTTGTTAAACATGCTTATACACCCAAATGAATAAAATCTTTCAACATCTTTTATTACTCAGGAGGGAATATAATTATTTCAACAATGTGGTCACTGCCCTGTGCATTTCTGGAACTACTCACAGGCCATTTGGAACAGCCTTTCAAGCTTGCTTACCCTCCAGAGATGGAAATCAGTCCCCAAGCTTTATATGTATAAAACAATTTCAACCCAAAAATAATAGTGGCAAATTTGGGCACTGCCATCCTCCACCCACCCTCCTTCATCATATGGAATTGTTCCAAACTTCTGGCTCTTTCAAACAAGCAAGTCCTCCTCAAAAGACAACTCTGACACGGAGTCATAGCTCCTAACAGAATTTCAAATGGAAATGCAAAGGGGGTTGGGGAGAGAAGCCAATAGTAGCATGAGTGAGATATCCAGAGCATCATCTGATGCTGAAGACTTAAGAGTGCACATTTAGGTGCAGGTTTCGTTTTTCTTTAAATGTTTCATCTCACCTTCCCGAATACATGCTTAATGAAATCATAGCTTTTTCTGTTTGTTTCTCCAAAATGTAAGGCTAAATCTTTTCATTAATTCTATGAATGCCAAGAAAAGTGAAAACTTAACGTGACTACTGAATCATTTCCAAAGGCGGTGAGATTCTGCTTTAATGACTTCATTAGAACATTCTTAAGGCAGAAACTGCACCCACCCTTGTCCAAGAAAAGGGTTTCACCATTTGAAAGACTGACACTACAGAGAACCAGGTCCCTATTTTGCATAATTGTGTACATTAAGGAGAGCCTGCTGAGAGCACTGCCCTATTCCAGTAAAGAAGATACAAGAAAAAAGGACACGGCCCCACCACACAAGCTGTCAAAATCAGGGGAGACACCATCTGTATTCTACAGCACCTGTCCCAGTGAGGCAGTTCACACGGATGATACTATTACCCTCCCCAACTGATGTGGAGGCAGATAAGTCTCTTTATCCTTAAACCATCCCCTGGGGAAGGGAGAACAACGCTCTCCCTCATCGTCGGGCTGGGCAAACTGAGGAAGCAGCGAGCAAAGGGGTGGTCCCACAATTCCTCCCTTCCTCTCACGCCAGCACCAAAGGCTGAGCCCTGGATTTCTGTCATCCCACTTCCAAGCCGGCTGAGCCAGCGAGAGGAAGCAAAACTCCAGCTCCTCTCTGCAGAGACGCACGCGGACCCAGACACCGCCCGGCCCTATCTCCCTGGAGCTGCAGGTGAAGGCACTGTAATGGTGGAAGCAGGAGGTGGAGAGGAGAGGAGGAGCCCTCAGCATCCCCCTCCGTCCCAAAGCGCTGCCGAGGCGAGGCGAGGCCGCAGGGCCAGGGACCCCCGTCTCCCCACCCGCGATGGGTACCTTCGAGTACTCCTGAGCCAGCTTCTGGTACTTCCCCTGCAACTCCGCGGAGGCCATGGCCTCCCCCGCCCCGTCCAGGCCTGGCCGCCCGGGCTGCTGAGCCCCGCCCCCCGCCCCCAACCCCACACTTGCTGCTGGGCAGGGCTCAGCCAGCTTCTGCGGCTCCGCCACCGCGCCTCCTCCTCCACTTCCGGGTTTCGGGGCGGGAGGAAGGCGGAGCGGGACAGGGGGCGGGGCGACCACGGGGGCGGGGAGACGTCTTGACGTGTCGCCCCGCCCTCTCTCCGGTGCCCAAGTTCACGCATGCGCGGCACCGCCAACGTGCCCGTGCGGCGCCTATGCTCGGCCTGTGGCCGGAGGCGCCATCTTGGACCAGATGTGAAGATGGCGACCTGGTTCAGGGCGAGCCGGAATCAAGAGGGAAAGAGAATGGGGTCCTACGGCATGAACGGAACACCACGGACAGAGACAGGAGGAACGGAGAACGGGAAGGAGAAGCGTTCTAAGAGCGACAAGAATTCTGGCTACCCTGTCCCATGGTTCCCATAGCAACCGCCTGGCGTCAGTTGCATCTTTCAAGAGGCGCCTGGAAGGAAGCTCGTGTTCTGATGTCTCATGCGTTGTCTGGATTTACAAAACTCGCTCTACACTGTAAACTATCAAGTCTGCCAGATTCATAACACTTGCCCTTCTTAGATCAGAAACCCTTACGTTGAGATTTATGTCCATTCTCTACTCACGTGCCACGTGCTGACTCCTGACCCCTTATTCATTATCAGAACCATTTTCAATGGACAAAAGGCCGATAGGAAATTTCCGATAATTTCTGCCACGCATTGAGATGTAAAGAATGTCAATGGTTTAAAAAGAAAAACAACTAAAACTAGAAAGCTTGAGATACCTTACAATGAAAAAACTGCCATCACTTCATTTGAAATATTTTTTACAGTTCTGTTAGGGATTAATGTAAGTGTAGCATTGAAGCATTTCTTGATAGAATAATATGAATGAATGCATGCATTCATGCATGTTTGCTGAGTGTAATATGAGAGTTGAAACTAATGAACTACATTTGTATTTATATATGTAAACATCAGCATGTTAAAACCCATGTTAAATATAAGTAAATTGCACTGGATGCAGCTGTGTAAACCTTTAATCCTAGGATTTAGAAAGCAGAGTCAGGTAGATCCAGTAAGTTCCAGGCCAGCCTGAGCTACACAGTGAGACTGTCTAAAAATAAAATGTAAATTACAATGTAACATAAACAGATTTTAAAATATGAAGTAGAAATAGCCAGACATATTTGACCATGCCTGCAGTCCTAGCACTTCAAGTTTGAGGGCAGTCTGGGCTATATAATGAGTTCCAGGCCAACCTGGGCTATAATAGCAAGATCCTGTTTCAAAAATCGTGTGTGTGTGTGTGTGTGTGTGTAACCAATATGAAGTAACATTTTAAATTAACATTTTATATTCTTGTTTTTTGCCCACACCCCTTTGTATTATTCTTAAACCCATAAACAAGTAGTAAAAACACTGACAAGAGACAAGAGCTGGAAGGCTACACATAAAACCGATAAGCTGTTGCCTCTAGTGAGAAAAGAAGGAATTGAAGCTGACAGGACAGAGGATTGCCAGCTTTATTTCCTTAGGTTTTCTAAAGTAAATATTGTATTTATTATGCAGGAAATATGTCCAGGAACGCTAGGTCAGCACTTTAGACTAGTTAAGCTGTAACTAAAATGAAAGCTGTGCTAGCCTAGTTTCCCTTTTATCTGTGAAAAAAATCAGAAATCACACAGAAGAGCTCAGCCTGCACCCATTTTCCATATGAAAACTAGAAGAGGTATGTATTTTTGGTTTGCTAATAAGCAAATACTGCCATTCAAACGTTCAGAATAATTGTTTCTAAGAGTTATGTTAGTTTTCTGTGGCGCCACCAAGTGTCAGAACTAAATATTGTGATATTTCCATGCTTTTTCCAGGAATGGAATTTTTTTTTTATTTTATTGTTTGAAAAATGTCATTCCAGAAATAACATTCCAAAGAAAGAATGTGCAAATTTAGCCAGTAAGCCCGTGTAAATTCATGTTACTGAATTTAGAAATTTATTTTCAGTGACTGGCTGTTTGGTCACATTCACTGTTTTAAAACCCTAGTTAGTAAATATGAATTAAAACTCCTATTCTCAACTGCTTTAAAGAAAAAGGTAAGCCACAAAGAGGAAGAAGTTATTGCAGCATATGTACCCAACAGAAAATTATTTTCCAAATATACAAAGAGCTCCTACAAATCAATTTTTAAAAAAAGGCCATATCTACTTGTTTTACTATTGCAAAGGATGGCTTAGGCATGAGGAATAATTAATTGCCAAGTGTAGTTTAAGGACCCATGATGTGGGGGGCAAGCCTAGATCACTGTGAAAACTGAAGAGTGATTGGAAAATGCTCCTATTTAAAGTGCAATGCCAACCTGGCAAGATGGCTCAGAGAATGCTTGCCATAAAGCCCAATGACTGATTTGAATCTCAGGACACATGTGGTAGGTAGGAGAGAACTGCAAGTTGTCCTTTGACTTCCACACATAAGCTATGGTGCATGTATGCTTACACACGCACACACCAACACACACACACTAGAAATTTTAAAATATATAAAATGCAATACCATTTTGTCAATGGTTATCAAACCTAATAAGCACTGCATGTTGATGTCTCACATCTCTAAAATTCACAGAAATGGAGCAAAAGTTGGCCATTGCTAACTCAGAGCTGGGTCTGATGTGCAATGTTCTTGGTTAGTACTCATTATCCATAGACTGCATGTGCAAATTTGCATAAAATGTGCAATAAATAAATAAATAAATAAATAAATAAATAAATAAATAAAAATACTACCCTCAATAGAGCATCTACAAGCATGCACAGAGTAACAAAAGATCTGAGTTACCCAAAACTCGTGTTCCCAGCTGACATCCAACAAGAGGATTCTAGGGGAGGAGGACAGCATTATTTTGTTAAAACTTATGCTCTTTCAGCATAATAATGAAGCCCTTTCCACCCCAACAGTTGTTCCTAAGTGCAAAAAGGCTGGTTTTACCTTTATAAAGATGGAAGTGTATGACAAGCATTGTTTAGGTTTAAGTCCAGAATGCTATTGTTGGACATGGTGATTCATGCCTCCAATCCAGCATTTAGAAGGCTGAGAAGGAAGATCTCTGTGAATTTGAGGCAAGCTTGGTCTATATAGTGAGTTCCAGGACAGCCAGGACTACACTGAGAGACCCTGTCTCAAAAACAAAACAGAGCTGGTTTGATATTAGTGAAGCAAAATTATGTATCAAAAAATGTGTCTTTAAGCCAAAGTACACTTGAAATGTGGTTATTCATGGAATGGTTGAGGAAAATGTGACCAGATACTCACAAGAAACTCTCTGTTTTCCACAGGAGTGATGCTATTTGCTAAGTTAATATTTACAATAATTTATAGAACATATCTACTATGTGTACTGAGGGTCAACTGCATATAGATTGAGATGATGTGGAACTTCTCTTGACCATGTGGAGAAGCAATTATGCCATCGGTTTACTGACAATATGAGGAACACTATGAGCCTCTGGCAGAATGTTATTTCAAGGAAGAGTAGAATCCTTCTGTGTTGTCTTAGCTGTGGGAAGGCCCCCATGTTTGTCCAGGTCAGAAAAGCAAGAACTTCAGACTTCTCCCCTCACCCTCTAAAGCAGACATTGAGAACAGAGCAGAGAAAGACTGTGGAAGACAGTATAGAGCAATTCTCCTTGCCCAGTTTGTTTGTTTTTGAGACAGTGGCTCACTATGCACCACAAGTTAGCCTTGAACTCAGAATACTGCTGCCTCAGCTTCTCAATGTCCTATATTCAAGGTACTGCAACATAAAATAAGTTACATACATATGTAACCCATTCACCCATTAGTGACGATCTGGTTTGTTTCCACTTAGGGATGTTGTACATGATTCTTCTGTGAGCACAGATGCGCAAATGTCTGGAGGCCATACCCAGAGATGGAGTTCCTGGGTCATCTGGTAACTTTGTGCTCCAGCTTTCATGGACCTACCCTCCTGTTTTCCTTGCACAAAGCTTCTATTCTCTGCATCCCACAAGCATTTGTCATTATCTATGTTTCTTGACCAATTTGTCCTAAAACAGTGTCTCATTCTGGACCTAATTTGCATGTCTCTAATGGTTCATCTTGCAGTTCATCAAGTGCCTTTTCCTGGGCTGGTTGCCATCTTTGGTTTATTCATTTCCTTACCTCCCTATGAACTGCACATCTTGCTTTCTGCCTGTGCAGCAGAACTCAGGTCTCTGTCTCTATTCAGCCCTCTGAAGTCAGGTTCCTATGGTCTCCCTCCACAGTGCCATCATGAGAACCAATCCTGAGGTCTCATCAGAGGCCACAGGCTCTCTGATAACAGTTCTGTCTCTCCATCTATCCTCCCTTGCTCCAGGCTGCCCTCCTTCTAATTCTTCTAGCTTCACAGAGTAAAAGTGAATTCCTGTTCCTGGAAGAAAAACTCCTAACTCCTGGGCTCTGCACTGTCTAGCACTGAGCCTCAGGAGTCCCGGGCTCAGTCAACTCTCCTGTCACCTCTGTGTCCTAGGAAATGCCTTCCCTGTTCCCCATCACCTCCCCTACCTTTCTCCCAGTGTCTTTCCAGATGTCCTTTAACATGAACTTACCAGCATGTGTTTCTTACCTTGTGTATTCCCTAACATGCAGTGTCCAGTCCTGTGCTCCCAGCAGAACAGCAAAGATCCTTACCATGGAAACCTCATTTTCTTAGCCCTTAATCATCTATAGCTCCTGGGGGTGGGGTGGAGGGACAGTTGCATCGCATTCCTGCAAACGCAAGGGTTTCTTTCCCTCTCCCCACTGCACATCTCTGCCCTTAGAGGTCATCACAAATGGCTCCCTTTGCTTATGTACTTCCTCTGTGGTTCCTCGTTTCCCCCTTGGCACTTGTTTCTTTCTGGAAAATTCTGACTATTAGGGCATTGTTGATTGCATGTGTGCAGTGAAGATTTTTACCCAAAAAATTCTTCAGGGTTACCTAGCAATTTCAATTTCTTTACTCTTTTGTTTTTTTATTTTTTATTTTTTATTTTTTTTTGGATTTTTGT